CCCTCTGGCCTGGACCACGGCGTAGAAGAAGAAGGGCCACTTGCTGTTGCCCCAGCTGGTGGGGATGCTGCGGGATGTGGCGTGCGGCATGCGGCACCTGTCCCGCGTGGGCTACGTGCACCGGGACCTGGCCGCCCGCAACGTGCTCGTCAGCGGCGAGCTCACGTGCAAAGTGTCCGACTTCGGACTCTCGCGGATGCTTCTGCCGGACGACCACTCCGACGCGGTGTACACCACCCGGGTAAAGCTGGGGGGAGAAAGATGTCAGTTTTGTACCAGTTTAAAGGGTAAAAACCTACTACTATATTTCGCCACTGATATAGGAGATGTCTCATAGTGTAAATGGTTACCCCGAGCTCTCAATACTCTGATAGTGCGCTGTCTTTGAGTTGTATACAAGGCATCATGTTTTTGAGTTGTACGCCTTGTGGCGTCATCTGGTCCAACACCAATGGAGACTAGGCTCTAAGAAAAGCTGTCTCGGGTGTGGACCAATCAGCTTCGAGGACAGTGCATATCATTATCATCATCATCAGAGTTGTTTCTTTTTGTTTGCATTTTGACTGCTTGTTTTGTGGTTATTGCAAACATGATGCCTTGCATAAAGGTGTCAGTTTTGTACCAGTTGAAAGGGTAAACAGGTCCCTGCGGGGTGGGCTGGTAGGAACGAACAAATACGATACGAAGGGAGAGTTTGAGGCCTAGTTCTATGGTTTAGGCCTAGCTGTAGGCTTTAGGCCGCTGTGAGTTAATTTTTAATTAAAATGTTTTAATTAAAAACTATCTCAGGGAATTATAAGGGAATGTTACACTTGTTTAGCCAGGAAAGCCTCACTGAGTCTAAAGGTTTTTGTAGGGTCCTGCCAAGTGTTTGCAGTAGGGGGCGATGTTGCAACACCTAATCGACCATCGGACGGACGATATTATCTATTGTAGGCTGGTTCACTTCGTTCCTACCAGTAAAACCTAATACTAAACCCTTCACCGCGTACTGACGACATCGGCCGCGAAAGCCGAGGGCGAAATCAAATTGTAAATGTTCCCCAGGGGGGGAAGATCCCCATCCGCTGGACCGCCCCGGAGGCGATTTCCCAGCTCAGGTTCACGTCGGCAAGCGACGTGTGGAGCTACGGCGTCGTCATGTGGGAGGTGATGACACACGGCGAGCGGCCATACTGGGACATGAGCAACCGGGACGTGAGTTCAGCACCAGCAGCCCTGTAGTGTGAGTCTGTGGGTCTCTCTGTTTGAGTCTGTGGGTCTCTATGAGTGGTCTGTGGGTCTCTGTGTGAGTAGTCTATGGGTCTCTATGAGTAGTCTATGGGTCTCTGTGTGCCCCCCAGGTGATGGAGGCAGTGGAAGGTGGCTGGCGACTGCCACGTCCCATGGGATGTCCCATGTGTCTCCACCGCCTCATGCTGAGCTACTGGCACGCGGAGAGCTCCTGTCGACCCTCGTTCAGCCAGCTCGTCACCGCCATCACCGACGCCCCGCCCAGCACGGCCAGGTGCGTCTGTGTGCGTGTGTGTGTGTGTGTCTGTGTGTGTGTCTGTGTGTGTGTGTGTCTGTGTGCGTGTGTCTGTGTGTGCGTGTGTCTGTGTGTGCGTGTGTGTGCGTGTGTCTGTGTGTGTGTGTGTCTGTGTGCGTGTGTGCGTGTGTCTGTGTGTGCGTGTGTGCGTGTCTGTGCGTGTGTCTGTGTGTGTGTCTGTATGTGTGCGTGTGTCTGTGTGTGTGCGTGTGTATGTTGGAGAGCGGTAATGTAGCGGTTAGCGCGTTGCGCTATGAACCTGGCGACCCGGGTTCGATTCCCACTCACGGCGAACACCAGTGACGATTATCTGAACCGGTCCTGGGCCTCTCCTAGGTCGAATCATCTTTAAATGAGTACCTGGTGCGGTGTGTAAGCATCGCCACTGGGGAGACAAAGGCGGTCGGGCGTGGTGCTGGCCACCCACCCCCTCGTGTGCCGTTCCAGCCTTCATAGGTGCTCGCTACCAGCACTTGCCTCTACAGTCTGTTAAGGCTATACGGGGGATCTTTGTCTATCTTTGTGTCTGTGTGTGCGTGTGTGCGTGTGTCTGTGCGTGTGTCTGTGTGTGCGTGTGTCTGTGTGTGCGTGTGTGTGAGCGCCGGGTGGCTAAAGCACAGCAAGTTGGCACAGTAGGGGGCACAAGTGGTGCATCAGCCAGTCATCTCGGTCATCTCAGTTAGTCGACCCGTGGCACCTGCTGGGTCTGCCCCGTGACCTCCTGCCAGCGGGCGTTCGACACTTCACGTGGCCTCAAGGTGCACATGGCCTGGCACAAGCGTCGTGGTGACGTCACCGCCACTTAATGGGGGCTCTGGATGGGTACGAGGGGCTGGTAACCCCTCCACCTTCGATTAATCACGACAAAATCACGAATGAAAATAGTATTGAATAAGCTTGTGCCGGAGGCCCCTCTTCTCGACGATATTCTGAACCGGTCCTGGGCGTCTCCTAGGTCGACTCGGCCTCAAATGAGTACCCGGTGCGGTGTGTAGTGAACATCGCTAGCACTGGGGAGACGTGATGATGATGATGATGACAACAACCGCTTTGTCGAGCCGTCGCTTGCGGTGGCCGGGACGCTTCCTAAAAAAGCGTCGAACAGCAGCTCCGGCGGGGGCCTTTCCCGGTGAAATAAAAACACAGAATGAAAGGCGAGCGGTACAAACGTCACGACCACTTTGGCCTTTCGATTTAAAGCTTTCGTGACTGCAGGGATTCATCTTCTTGGTTCTTTCGGTAAAGTCACGTAGAATGGAAATAATAAAATAATAAAAATTAAATTATAAAATTTAGATTTAAAGCTTTCGTGACTGCAGGGATTCATCTTCTTGGTTCTTTCGGTAAAGTCACGTAGAATGGAAGTAATAAAATAATAAAATAAAACATAATAAAATCATTCTCACGACGTTTCGGCCACAACGCAAGCAGCCGTCCTCAGGTGAAGAACAGGTCTGTCGAGAAGACAGCGTTGTGGCCGAAACGTCGTGAGAATTATTTTATTATGTTTTATTTTATTACTTTATTATTTCCCTTCTACGTGATGACTTTACCGAAAGAACCAAGAAGATCACTTTGGCCTTCTCACGGCCCCAACGAGGCCTCTGCCCGGTGACGGGTGTTTCACCGTCACCTCGCTCTGCCTCCTCTCCCCCCGCCCAGTTTCTCGTCCGCGGTGGCGGTGGCCTCCACACTCCGCGGCGACTTCTCAACGCCGCGAACGCCGACAACGCCGCCACCTCCTCCCACTGCGTCTTAGTCGTGTTCGCTGGCACGGCCTCCTCCGCTCGGGATCTCGACGTTTGTCTCTCGTGTCTCGTTGGGGTTTTTCTCACGGCGTTCAACGCTCGCTCCCCCGTTGGTTTTAACACTTTTGATTTCCCCCCCCCCCGACGATCTGCGTCTTCCCCGTGATTGTTTGTCGTTCGCGTGCCTCCTCTTTTATCTGTTAATTCGTGTAGTGACAGGGTGACACCTGGCAGCCTGTAGGGGCAATTGCGGGTATCGCTGCATTACATCATCTCTTCGTGCTCTTGAATCGACGTTATACTGAGCACACAGCCCCTAGTGGAGGCAGGGCCGACGACTTACACGGTCCCTGGTCAGCTGCTCTCTCCGCTGCTGCTGCTGGATGATGCTGTTACCGCTGCTGCTGCTGCTGTTCCCACGTCTCCACGCGTCTGAGTTGTGCGCCGAGTTGAGGCTCTTTTTATAACCAGCTCCTCGGGGCCACCGCCGCTGCCTGCAAGTGGCGGTTGGTCCCCACTACGGGGGAGTTGGGGCGTCGCCCCGCTACGCAGCTCGAGGTGACAAATTAGTTCTCTAATAAAAAATATATTTACTGTTCCGTAAATTGTTGTGTCGTGTTTCAAGAAATAAAACAGTCGTATCGTCTATCGACGCCCGCCGCTGGTAGATGAGACGGTGACATCACTTTCATTGATTTGATTTATTGATGAGTTGAAAGGGGGGGGGGGGGAACGCCGATTTCAAATAAGAATTCTTCATGCTTCAAAGTTTTTAGGGCGTCAAGAGCGTAAAGCGCGATTTGTAAACTAGATACGTCATTCGCAACGCTATCTCCATCCTCTCTGCAGAAGCACCTTTCCCGTAAACATCGCCACGTTTAGTTATTCCACTGTTTTATCCGCCCGGTGCTTTTCCAATTGTTGTGAGCACCGCTAAAGCAAGTTCCACGCAACTTACCCATCTGTGTCACGGTGGCTAGACGTTGACTACCGCGCCTGGTACGCATGAGGTTGCGGGTTCGATCCCGACCCCGATGCAATTTCCAGCGGGAACATTTTTTGTTCATGTAAGAATGCCAATTGGCTGTAACATCTTTTCATGTGCCCGTAATTCCTCCACTGCTCTCCTGGTTTCTCAATGATAAGTGTGATATCCTTCATAATTTAAACATTGCATATGAGAAAACAAGCATTTTAATTTTCAACAAAAAACGATTTCAATTCAACCCATTAGCTCCGAGCTATAGTGTGTTAGAGACCCTGCGTGCAATTGTGAATGTAGTGACGTGAAAGTATTCAGCAATGCTTACTCCCCAAAGAGGAAAAATAACAAAACACCGTTGCAAACCAGATGACCGCTTGCTTCAAACTTCCTTGATGTTTACACGTGAAGGTTTAATGAGACTGCTTTACAGTCTTCTTCTTGATTCTTTCGGTAAAGTCACGTAGAAGGGAAATAATAAAATAATAAATATAAACATTAAAATAATTCTCACGACGTTTCGGCCATAACGCAAGCAGCCGTCCTCAGGTGAAAAACAGGTCTGTCGAAAAGACAGCGTCTGAATGAAACACCACCAGGCTTGGAGCGTATATTTAAGCTGGGTTGGAGGGGGAAGAGCGCCTTGACAAAGAAATTTGCATATCAAGAGGAATTTAGCATATGTTTGGGAAATGCAGATATGGGATTAGTCACTACTTGTGGAATACGTAGGAGGTGGGCGGGGGGTTTCAAAGTCATATTATGCCCGTGCATTATGCAGGATTAGCAGCATCAAAGGGAGGGAGTAGGGTTAGCATTAATAAAGGGAAGGAATGTTAATAGCATGGAGCTGCAGTAACGAAATTTGCAATTTCGATTTTAAACTTTCGTGACTGCAGGGATTCATCTTCTTATATGATGAGGTGAGACCAACTGGGCTATTTCGCTCTTTCTCAGAAGCAAACTGCCCACAAATAATGCTCAACGGAGTTGCTCATCGCGTGGACATTTAGAGCAGAAGACCGACACTGAACGCGCGTTGATGTCGATTCTTACACGTGGAGGGGACAAACCCGGAGGAGCCGGAGAAAAATCCATACGACCACGGGGAGAGAGAGAGGCACGCAAAGTCCAGGTATACAGGTACCCTGTATACCTGGCAAGGCAGTTAACATCTCGCTGGTTTACACCATTGGTACCTCATTTGCCAGTAAAAAAAATATGATAATTGTTTTTTTACCCTTTTATCTGGCAACAAAACTGACACCGTTTTTACGATGAGTCATGTTTGCATAGACCACAATGCCTGCAGTCATAATGCAAACAAAAAACATAACTCTGATAATGAATGTCCTCAAGGTGTCAGTTTTGTTGCCAGATAAAAGGGTAAAAAACCAATTATCATCTCGCTGGTTGCGCCTCACTGCAGCACGACTTTCCATGTTGAACAACCAAGCGTGGTGGACCTTTCTATAAATCCACTGCTGGGTGAGCCCCCTGCCCCCCCCACACAACTCGTCGTGTGGGTTGTCAAGGTGATTTGACCACAGCTCAGCAAGCTGGTCAGTGCGGGTGGGAGCATAGACGCATACAAGTGTAATGGTGTAAGTAGAGCAGGAGACGTTGACAACACGTATTCATTACAATTAAATCCAACACAGCAGAGTAACGACTCTAACACTCGAAGAAGAGGAATCGGCCCCTTCACCCGGTTCTATCCGAGGCAGTGTCCCTCAGCTAACGTTTCCCCGTCAGCTCCTACTACACCCCTCTAACCCAGACCATCCTAGTAGAGGAGGCTAACTCACCTGGCCCAGCTTCGGCTCAGGTCCGACCCTCAGCCACACGAGTCTGGCCCTCACAAGGACACAGAAGACCTCGCTGCTGCTCTGAGGTCGCCCCTGGCTTGCCCTGCCCGGCTCTTACAAGAGCAGCGAGTCAGGGTAGTAGTCCCAGGGCTAGGCTAGCTAGCTGGTACTCTTAGTAGGTGAGTGAGTAGGTGAGTGTGTAGGTGAGTGGGTGGCTGAGTGGGTGGGTGAGTGCGTGAGTGGTGAGTAACCTGTATGGTGAGTGAGTGGTGAGCAAGTGAGTGACTGAGTGAGTGACTGGGCGACTGAGTGAGTGAGTGACTGAGTGAGTGAGTGGTGAGTGACTGAGTGAGTGACTGAGTGAGTGACTGAGTGAGTGAGTGAGTGACTGAGTAAGTGAGTGAGTGGTGAGCAACTGAGTGACTGAGCGACTGAGTGAGTGAGTGACTGAGTGAGTGACTGAGTGACTGAATGAGTGAGTGACTGAGTGAGTGACTGAGTAAGTGAGTGAGTGGTGAGCAACTGAGTGACTGAGTGAGTGACTGAGTGAGTGAGTGACTGAGTGAGTGAGTGACTGAGTGAGTGAGTGACTGAGTGAGTGACTGAGTGAGTGACTGAGTAAGTGAGTGAGTGGTGAGCAACTGAGTGACTGAGTGAGTGACTGAGTGAGTGACTGAGTGAGTGAGTGAGTGACTGAGTGAGTGAGTGACTGAGTGAGTGACTGGTGAGCTCGCTGCTCTTCACTCTTCACCGGCTCTTCTGCTCCAACGACTCCCCGAGCTCTCTCGCGCACCGCCTTATATACCCAACTGCCCCCCCCCCCGAGGGGCGGGGCTGTATGCGGATGTTGATGTAGACACCCCACGCACGGACGTTGATGTAGACACCCCAACGTAACGGCTTGCTACACCCCTCTACGTAATACCTCTACACTAGTGCTACTACTGCGTCTGGAGCACATTACAATGTGTTTGGCTGCACTGCCCTCTGCTGTGTTCCTCGTATTGCCGTGACTTGCCAGTGGCTTCTGTTCCAATACAAATCACATACATGTGAACGAAGCATATTATTTGTCTGCACTTGTGCCGTATTCTATTTTACAACTTCATTATCCAAACTTCCCAACACAGAACCCTCGGAAAATATGAAGCCTCCCCCCGTAACCTTGAGAACTCATCTCGCGCCTCTGATAATAATGATGACGGTTGGCTACGTAGGGCGAAAATAAAACCCCAACGACATGGATACATGTACAGGTAGACCCCGAGTTACGATGGGGTCCGACTTACGACATTTTGATCTTACGATGGCGATTCGACAAAATTGCCATCAACAACCTAACATCGTTCACGTGTGCAGACGACGGACAGAATATTGGCGAGTACACAGTACAATATGATACGTTACGATACGTTCAATGCATGTATACACTACACTATACACTACACTATACACTACACTATACACTACACAATACTCTACACTATACACTACACTATTACACTACACTATACACTACATTATTACACTACACTATACACGTCATTATACACTACACTATACACTACTATACACTACACTACTATACACTACACTACTCTACACTACACTATACACTACACCATGCATTACACTATACACTACACTATGATACGTAGCTTTAGCGATTTAATTTTAGGGTTACCACGATACGATACGTTCAATGCATGTTAAAAGTTTCTGTAGCAGATAGGATTGTTTCCTGCTAAAACTTTCTATTAAATTTCAGTTCATATAGGTAGGCTAAGAATTTTCCTTGTTTTTTACTTTACATTTCACTGTGCAATACAGTATTGCAATTAATAAATACACACGGTATATAGTTTATACAGTACGCTACTGTAAATTGCTTTGTTTTGCTAAATTATCACCGTCCTTTAAGACTCCTGGGTAGGCTATAGGCCATCTTCGACTTACGGTATTTTCGGCTTACGACGGGGTCGTCGTAACGCATCTCCGTCGTAAGTAGAGGACTGCCTGTGTTGTGACTTTCCTAAGAAATAAACACAACCATAAACATTATCATAGCCCCATCGGGAAGGGCGTTCGTGTCTTCTAGAAAGAGGGAGGAGCTTCTAGAAAGAGGGCGAGTCTTCTAGAAAGAGGGCGTGTCTTCTAGAAAGAGGGCGTGTCTTCTAGAAAGAGGAAGGGGCTTCTAGAAAGAGGGCGTGTCTTCTAGAAA